AATTATTTTACGTTTACTGTATATTATTTTCCAGTCAGCTGCTCAAGATCTCTGTTGTGTTTCTCACTAAGTAATGGTCTAACAAATGATTTTTAATGAGCTTTCATGTGTGTATGCTGATTTGCCTTTAATGTTGGTTTTTGGAAGTTCCTTCTTGCCAACATCTGTTGTCTTGATCAGTGATGATGAAAGCAGCTTTTTGTGCCATGTGGAAATGGCTGGTGATATTATTGCCAATATTGGAAAATAATAGCATTTAACCTGATGTAAGAACAAAGCAAAAATGACCTGATTTCTACAGGTGCAGATTCTGCCCTTGATAGAGTCTTCTAATTTTCTCCTTTCTGTTCTTTTACTAATGGGAGCAATGTGGGAATTAAATAATAAAATATAGTAGAATAAAAATTCTTCGAAGAGGAATGTGTTGAGTCCACTATTTATTTTCCCAGTACGTTTCTAACACTGCAGTTATCTAATTTTTATATTAAAATTATCATTCAATTTGTAAATCATGTTTTAAATGAATGTTAGAGCAGAGAACTGCACTTTGCAGTAATGTTGATTAGTTGGATAAAGTACATTCTCTGGAAACGAGAGATTTAATGAATATATGCTATTTGTATATTTTTGTCCCATTGGTGTGCTTTAAAAGAACCTAGATTTATGTGTATTGCACCAAAGAGCATCCCCCGATTTGGCTGTTAACATCAGGTTCCACATAAATTTGATTTTTAAAATTTCTTAAGCCCCCTAGTTCTTTTCATGTACAGTATTTTCCTGATCGTCCTGTAAAATAATACCTTCTAAAAGTCCATTTCTCTGATCATGTTTTCAATGTCTTCATCCCTACCATCTTTAGCTGATTCATCAATGACCCCCTCTGTTGCAAGGTCAGAAGTGGGAGTGTTTGCTGCTGATTGCACAATTGTAGTGATTAGGACCAGGTGGACCTCATTGACTGAGGTTTTTGATTGGGCTTGTTAATCTGGGCCAATCAGGAAAGCCCTGGTTGACCAATATAACCAGGAGATTAGCATCTCCTCAGTTGAGGACCGATTCCAAGCTGGCAGGCCACAGTCAGTGTACTGTGCACTTTTAAATAAATAAGGGGTGAATCAGTGACGGGATACCGACCTCTGTTAAAATAACTGTACAATGTTCAGCACTATTTGTGACTCCTTGGGTACTGAAGCAATCTGTGTCCAAATGCACGAAGACCTAAAGAATATCCAGGTTTGAGCTGACTATTATCAAGCAACATTAGTACCACAGAGATAACAAGATGTAGAAATTTCTGAAGAAGGGTCTAGGCCCGAAACGTCAGCCTTCCTGCTCCTCTGATGCTGCTTGGCCTGCTGTGTTCATCCAGCTCTACACTTTGTTATCTCAGATTCTCCAGCATCTGCAGTTCCTACTATCTCTGAAACATTAGTACCACATATGCCAGGCAATAACCATTTCCAATAAGAGAGCCTACCTATTGTCCCATGACATTTGATGGACTTACCATCACTGAGTTCCCCATCATCAGCATCGTGGGGATTACTACTGACCAGAAACTGACTAGCCATATGAATACTGTGGCTAGAAGAGAAGGTCAGTAACTGGTAATCCTGCAACGAATAAGTCATCTCCTGTCTGTCAAAGCCTGTCTGCAAGGCACAAGATCAAGAGTGTGATGAAATACTTCTCATTTGCCTGGATAACTGCACTCATGAAACTTGACACCATCGAGGACAAAGCAGCCTGCTTAATTGGCACGACAACCACAAATGTTCACTCCATCTACCACCCAAACTCAGTCACAGCAGTATGTACCATCTATAAAAAGTACTACATAAATTCAGCGATTTTCCAAACCCATAGCCACTACCATGTAGAATGACATAGGTGGCAGGTACACGGGAACACTAACACCTACAAGTAGTTTCCCCCCACCCCCCCAAAAATCCACTCACCACCCTGACTTGGAAATATGTTGCTTCAACGTTGGTGGATCAAAGATCCTGAAACTCCCTCCCAAAGAGCACTGCGAGTCTATGTACAGCAGATGGACTGTTGTGGTTCAAGAAGGCAGCTCACTTTTTAAAGGGCAACCAAGAATGGAGAATAATTGTTGTCCCAACCGGTGACACCCACATCCCATGAATGAATTTTAAAAAGTTAACTCTTCCACCTGGCTTAATCTGCAGCCTATAGACATAACACAGAATGGAACTGGAGGTACACAGCTGGCCAGGCAGCATCAGAGCAGCAGAAAAGTAGACTTTTCAGGTTGGGGCCCTCCTGTAAAATAATACCTTCTCTGAGCCCATTTCTCTGAGGGTCCTGACCCAAAATGTCAACTTTCCTGCTCCTCTGATGTTGCCTGGCCTGTTGTGTTCCTCCAGCTCCACACTGTGTTATCTCTGACTCCAGCATCGACAGTTCTTGCTATCTCTTAATTTTCAGTGTTATCTCCATAAGTCACCAAGGAGATTTTCTAGCTAAAGTTTATATATAAATGCATGTCCGAGTATTTTGTTACCTCCCCATTTTGTAGCGAAATGGCAAATCTGTAAGATCTTCCGGTTGACACCTTGTTTTTCTGAACAATTGTCAGATTTATTAGATCTTAACCTAATAGTAACCCTGTTTTTGTTTGGTCTGTCTGCAAGAAGTTAACATTTTTAAGTGATAAGTCAGGTATCTGCTAGCTGTTATGTCATCAATCCTCATTTGGTTGTGCTGTAATGTCTACAGTTCGCAGCTTGTCACTATTTTTGTTCAGTTTCCCACCACAAAAACCTTTTTAAGTAAACTGATGGGGAGAAATACTTGCCATTTTACAGGATTCCATTTAGTACAATGAGGATGTGAGTTTTGCCTTCAGTTAGTTTATTAATTAAATCATACCATGGTGGCAGTATAAGTTCCTAAATGTACATTACATAATATTCATTTGTTTTTTTTTTAATGATTCCCTTTGAATGTGCTGCCAATCCACATGTACTTTTAAACATAAATCAGTATTTTATGCACTTCTGTTTGCAATCTGCTGACCAAATGCAAGAATGAACTCTAAGTGTAGAAGGGTATAATTTTTTGGCTCTTGACATTACCTCGAGTCAGATCAAGTACTAATCTGGTCAAACCATTCTTTCCATCCATGGACACAGATGCTGTTCATTTTCCACTGCTTAATATAAGGCTGTTATTTGTCCCATATGTTTATTTCAGAACTGCAAAGTTACTTCCTTTGCTATATTATTGTGATATGTACAACAGTTTAACAATTTTTTGATCTTCAAAGTGTGTCCTTTCAGTATTACTGTCAACTGATTAAAACCTTTTCATTGCAATAAATTGATCAAGCTGACTGCAATAAATCCAGTGCTAGATTGCTGTCAGACATACTTGTGTCCCAGAATCCTAGGAAGCCTTTACAATGCCCTCCTGTAGAAGTCTCCACTGGGAAGAGGTTATGCATATACAAAAAGGGTGAGATTAGAGTGTCTGGTCCATTTAAGCACACCCATCCACATGTTTAGCCACCGATTCCATTTACCCAAGCCTTGCATAATTTTCTAGCAGAGGCACAAAGAAAGAACAGAAACTAGCTAAAGGAAAATCTTTAATGCTGCACTGAGATTCTATACCCAGCTATCCTGTGACGTAAGCACATTAACAGGAAATGTGGTCTCTCAAAAAAACTTGCCCAGCCATCTTCTGCGGTACTATGTGCTTTAGTAAGCAATACCAAGGGGCAATGATTCTAAAAGTAAATGCTGTACTTCCAAGGATCTAATCAAATTCCTTTGCTTGGGTACTTTTATATGCAACTCTTTTCATTATTCCATCTCAAGTATCCTATCCAACAGGATAGAATCTAACTCTCATTTTAAAAGCTTAATCATACCTAATTTATAGTTGTGCTTGTCTAATAACAATAGCTAGTGTCCTGAGTGATAGTAAGAACTGGCGATGCTGGGTCAGAGATAACACAGTGTGGAGCTGGAGGAGCACAGCAAGCCAGGCAGCATCATAGGAGTAGGAAAGTTAATGTTTTGGGTGGGGATCCATCTTCAGAATTGTGTTATCAGTGTCCTTAGTTACTTCAAGGCTCTTTCAGGATTATTAGGGCCCTTGATAAGTTAGATACGGAAAGGCTGTTTCACCTTGTGGGAGAGCCTAATGCCACAGGGCATCATCTCAGAATAAGGGGTCACCTACTCAAGACAATGCCTACAGTGTCCACATCTGGTAAATTATTAAAGAAAAAAAATTTTCTGCTCATCACTGACATTATTCCTTGTGGGACTTTGCTGTGATGCAGGAGAATGTAGTAATGACACTATCACAAAAGCACTTTGCAAAAGTCTTGAATGATGCTATGTAAATACAAGTCTTTATTTTGGCCCATACGACAAGAACAGCCTAACACTAGAGGAAAAACAACACTCAAACCTCTGAACTGAAGATCCATTTGAATAATATAAACTGAGAATCTGTGAGCTATCCCTGTTATGTAACATCAAAGGGTCCAATTGGATGGTTTGTAGATTTAATTTATGTTGAATTTCATTATGCAGTGATTTGTTGAACAGTAAGAAGAATAATAGTTCTCCCTTAGCCCTGGTAATAATGGAGTTTTTTTTGGTGGAAGAGGAAAAGGAGAAAAGATTTGATAGTTTGTCAGTATTGCTGCCAAGAGTATGTGCAGTTGCCTAACCAGTTTATGTGATTGTAGTCTTTAATAACTCACTTTTCATCAGCATCTCTCACTTCATTCCTCCAACCAGAATATTAAGGATGCTGAAATTCTGAGGAAGTGCATACCAAATGTAGTTGTAGAATTTATTGCAAGTACAAATGATATTGAAGAGACTTAAATCAATAGCGTTGTAGTTACTTTTTTTTATCCTAAGAGTGTAATTGAGGCAATGTTTGATTCCACTTTGTTGCCAAACAACCCCATTGTTAATTTAAAATCCTAAAATGGCTAATATGTTCATTTACAGACTCACATTTCAAGGCTTCCACCAGGAGCTGTGGCTGGGCAATCATTAGCAATAGAAGGGGGTGTTTGCCGGCTTCGAAGTCCTATGACCTGAGCACGCTTGATGACTTAATGGCACCACACCGCAGTCTCAGATGGACTATCCAGCTATAGTGTATTTTGTATATTTTAATTATGTAAATGATTTTGAGAGTTTTATCTTTTTTGATACAGTAATTGCACTTTGTACTTTACGTATCCTGATTGTGCTGATAAGTGCTGCTTTATTCTGAGCATATCATCTCTGCTTAAATTGAAGATGATTTCTAGAATACTCGTCCCATTTGTTGAAAAGAAATGCCTGATACAGAGTGTCGCTAACATACTAATGTGAAAGAGCCCTTCTGTGCAGTTTACTTGAATTTCATTTAAAGCATTGCATTCCACATTTGCCACCTGAAAGATTCCGGTATATCTATACACTGTATTTAGTAGTTATTGTGGTGTCTAACTTCGATAATATTGGTTTCACTTCGTAAAGTAACTATTTATTTAGTCAATAATCACATGTACCTACCTTGGGGCTGCTAGTCAATCTGAGGTTTATTTGCAAGGGAAGCATTTACAAGGGGAATTATAACAGATGTGATTGTAACACAAATCTTTAAATGCTAAGCTTAATGTAAACTGTTGACTGTGTACTACTGGTACTATCATGCAGGACATGATCCTGAATTCATCAGCAGTTTTGGTTGAAAAATAGTGGCATGTAATGTAGGTGGAAAATTATATACTAAAGATTTAAATAGTAAAACTACGCATTTAACAGGACTCTGTGCAATGGGTGTAGGTCCTCAATGTTCTTTATTTTTGTTTTAAATTGCTTACAATTAACAGTCATTGGTATACACTGAAATCAAATTGACTGCATCATGATATCCTGTCAAAGAGTACGTCTTCCACATTTTCTTTAATTACATCGTTCAAAGGCTGGTGTGTGCAGACACTTGTTTCTGCTGCTTTTGCATATGGACATCTTTTGAATAGGGCCACCTGATGTGCTGGATCTGTGTAGCGCACAATGCCACTTCATCTTTCAGAATCCATCCTGTTTACTTTAGGAGATGTTGCTGTGCTCTATAGTTGAGCTTCTTTATAACAGATCGATAAATTATGTCTCCTTTTCAGAACCTTTTTTCTGTTATTCTGAACGATCCTACTGTAAGCAGTAGAAAAGCTGAGAACCATTGTTAATGAATCAGTCTCTTAAGAGTTTAGCCTGTTGAGGTTTGACTGTACTGATGTATTAAACCTAAGGTAGTCGTTATTTGTGGATTCAGGACAATCGTGGTGGCGAGTAAGTTAAAATGTATAATGCTAAATAAATTATACATCTTTGGAAAATTAAATTACAATATTTAATCATAGCGTGAAACATTTCTCAAATTATTTTAAATGTATTAAATGGCAGTATTACTGTTTTCTATTTTTTCCATTCTCTCTCAAACAGATTTTTAAAAAATGTCATAACCTTGTCATTGCATCTGATGACTCCCTGAATTTCAGGTTTCTAAGTTACAAAATTTGTTTCAAAGCTGCATTTGAAACGGTATCAAACTTTAATAACAAAGATTGGCAATTTAAAGACTGTTTTGAAGAGCATGCCTATATTAAATTGTGATAGAAAACCATAAAGGGCTAAAGGTCTTCAATACCTTCTTAGCTATCAGAAGCCTGATGAGTACCAACTTTTTCTTTTAGTTAATGAATGTTTAGAAGTGCTGAAGGTTGATTTACAGCTATGAAAATGCTGATTGTGATAGGCAGGAGTAATGACTTTGATTTTCAGTGAACATGGGCAAAAGGTATAGTCTGTAAATTTGGATGTTTTACAGTTGGATTTACATATATTTTAAATTGTGTTTGCAACAAATGGAAAGTAATTTTGACGTGTAATTTCTAGCTTGAGCTTAAGAGAATTGATGTTACATTGTACTAATTCCACGACATATTATAAGTAAACTCAGGGCTAAATGTAGAGCTTGCAAAGATGATTTTGGTTGACTATAGTAAAGTCCTGTTGTTAGTGGGAATATGTTCCTGGAGAATTTTGTAAGCAGCAAATTTGCAAACTATGCACTTGATTTATATTGGGAATCAAGGTTGGGTTCTAGCCAGAGTTAGGCTTTAGCCAACTAAAATTGAGAACAACAGCACACACGGCAAACTGAAATTTAGTAAAACCATGTATTTTTTTTTTAAACCATTTTCGGGTCATGAAGTAGTGCAAACAAACTAAAAAATAGGCCTTTTCTGATGAAGGGTCTAGGCCCGAAACGTCAGCCTCTCTGCTCCTATGATGCTGCTTGGCCTGCTGTGTTCATCCAGCCCTGCACCTTGTTGTCTCGGATTCTCCAGCATCTGCAGTTCCTACTATCTCTAAAAAATAGGAAATGTGTGACACTGACCCTTAAAAGAAGGTGAAGTTGGTAGACCACAAATTACTGCACTCCACCACCTCGTGGACCCACATGCAGATGAGTTGTCAACCCACACATAGAACACAGTCTGCAAACCTGAAAATATGGTATCATATGTCATTAATGCATCCTTAAACAAGATATTTTTCACGGTGTTTTACATTTTTATGGCAGTTGTTACATGTTTTTTCTCTCATGGACCTTCTTATAAGTGGGTATTGATGCCACAATTCTGCAGGTTCAGCAAGCATCTAGTACAGGCGCTGGTAATTCTTGTTCAGATCTGCCATTGTGATTTTATGACTTTTCCCAACAAATGAATTCTAGACACCATCTTGCCATTATGGTATCCAATAAATTTGTCTCCAAGAAAAGTTGTGCTGAGAAGCAGAAAATTAACATGTGGAGATGTATTGAAGGAATGAGATTTGGAAGGTTTCCATGAAAGTATATGATGAATTCTCAGAAGGAAAAACCAGTAGATTTTGTGAATGACACAATGGCCTGCCCTCTCTGTTTACCTCAAAATAGTGCTACAGAATGACGAATATGATTGATTCCAAATATCGCTGCTTTTTTAATTTAACTGAGATGCACAGACTTTTCACTAGTTCTGAATTAAATTTGTTATAGGACCCCATGCTCTACATGCAGCCAAGTCAGAGCACCTAGAAGCTTTTTATACGAATCTTTTTCGTCGAGACATTCCAATGGTGGCTGATATGCTCAATGATATCTGACCCAATGCTTATTTTAAAAAGCAAGAAAGTTTCATGAAGAAACTAAATTGACAACCCTTTGCAATTTTTTTGATTTTTGTTTTTGTTTTAAACTTTCTTACGGTGTTTGAAGTTTGGATGCATCTTGTGAACAAAAATTGGCTGGCCGTGAATCTGCAAAATAATTGTTCTTATTTAACAACTTCATTTCTGCGCATAATCTATTCTGGCAGGTGCGAGTGAATCTTGTTGTACTAGTTTTAAACATTTAAAGGTAGAATTATGGATGACATTTCATGGCCTTTTTTTCTCTTGAGACAGCCACTTAATTTACAATATTAGCCCCCTTGTTTTGGAAAAAAAAAATTCAGAATTACAAGTTGTAAACGTCCATAGTACTTGGGGGTTACTGCATCAATGTTAGCAGACTTGGCAAACCAGTGGAGAGAAGGATGTCCGAAGGTGTGTGGAGCTGACGGGTTGCAGATGCAGTGAAATATGAGTTTTTTTTCCAGTGAAGTGAAATACACCCTGAGTGCTGAGATTAACTAAGTGTAACAGTGGCATGACTTTAAATACATAGGTAAATTGGATAGCAGCTGAAAATGAGTCTAATTGTCATAGTGAGATTAATGGTGCCTATATAATGAGGTACAGGCAGCATACCAATTTAGTGTTGTACGTAGCTAGGACTAACCACCTGTTGGCTAGATGAACAGATGTAACATCAAAGTGCCACTTAAAGCTGTGCACCTCTTTAAGAAGAGGTGTGTTGTGGCTCCAGTAAGTGTTGCCAGTCATGCAAGAAGTGACCCTGAACTCGCAGAAACAGTGAAGAATAGCAAAACATGGAAGGAGACTGGCTCCAGAAGTTTAAGACTCTGCATAAAAAGCCTTGGTGAAGGAAGTGGGGAAGAGGAGAGATGTCCTATGCCCTCAGTGGACTCTCATGCACTCAAAGTGCAATAAGAACAGATAACCATGGAAATCAATGCCAAGGATCAATCCCCAAGGACCTGGAGCCAGAGCTGTAAAGGTCAGTGACTTCACTAGAGCAATTGAGGTCAATGAATGCATCTTCAAATTCCATCTACTATACCACTGATCTCAGACTGTGCTCAAATCTCCCAAAGTCCACTTACTGGTATCAGGACCCTGACCTAAAGCCTCCCAAACCATTGCTGCAACCCTCATTGCCATGTCTCAGTTTAAAAATCAACTACTTAACCATCACACCATATCGTACAAACCCATTGCACCACATTATCGCCACGAGACAAGGTAACACAAAGTGGGTGCTAATTGGAAGGAGTGGTGTTTTCTATTAAATGATGGGATTGAAGCAAATCAAATGATGACAACCTCAACCCTAAACCTCCTCACATCCCGTTAAGCCCCCCTTCCCCACAAGCCCTCCCCTGCACTTCTGATTTGCAATAATCAAATGATGTAAACACCATAAACTATCCTTTCTGCATTTTACAGATACCTAACAGGTGCAACTTGCCCAGGCTTTGGAGGAATACCAAGGAGAGGTGAAGATGCAATACTGTCACTAGCTTTCATATGTCCACAAACTGCTCAGATACTGTTACTGCATCTAAGAGAATAGATCATTTGCACCCGGTGAGACACTAGGCAAGGATTATATAGGTGCAAGCTTGCTGCATGGTGAAGTCCAATTTAGGACAATTGGTGTCAACTGTGACAAGGCAGCATTCTGGAGGAGCACAGCATTCTGAAGAGTTTTGAGAGGATAGATAACAAAAGGTAATTTTTATTGTTAGAGTAACAGGAAGCTTTCATGTTCTGAAATTTAACACGAAAAGGAAAATGTCTTGTTCACAGAGATTAGAAAATCATTTCATGTTTTCTTAAATGCACATTGATGACTAAATATAAAATTCTGGGATAATCTAATTGCTACATGGAAAATGTACATTTTTGTAATTGATTTTTGTAAACCAGCTGCCATAGTGGAATATCTAAATGATTTGTGGAAGGGTGACTATTTTGATTTCCTCTACCTATGTTAATTAAAAAGTGTTGCATCAAAGGATTGGAAAAAAAGTTTAATTGACTTGAAGCAACTTTTTCTATGGTCCTGTTGAGGTGTGATTTCTGTATTTCCTCAGTCATTCCTAAGAAAAGTCACACTGAATGCTGAGGAGTAAAAGTCAAGGATGTAGCTTTTTCCACTGAATCATCTTTAAATTTATTCCCCCTGCAAAAAAACAACAAATTCAATTTGTTCAGTGGTGTGTTTGCCAGTGTCATGGGAGATAATGACAGGTCCTCTTCCTGAGGAGAGGAAAGAAGACAACTGCCAATAACATTTCTTTCTTTCTGACATGTTCTTGGCTGTGTTGTGGAAATTTCTGTTGATTACCAAACAATCCTTTTAATTGTTTCACTGGCAGCTGAGATAGTTCAAGTACATTCCAATCATTGCAATCCATTCAATAACGTGTCTTATTATTTCCCCTTATTCAAACTGCTTGAGTACTCAATGTTTTATAAATCTTGCAGCACAGGAGGAGGCCATTTGGCCTGTCTTCTCTGTGCAAGCTCTTTGAGCTTTGCAAATAATTCCCACATGACCAACAATATCTTCATGATCCTGTATAATAATATCCTGGCCCTTTTCAGTTCAACTCTCCACATTCTCCTATCTCCTTGAACAGCACTTGGGGAGGAACTTGCCTTTAGCACCATCACTTCATCTCGCATTCAGGTATTGCAGAGGAAAGCCTGTAAATTTAGGACTTTAAACTATAGACTCTTTCCAGGGGATGATACCAGAGGTGCTCCTGTTAGTGCCCTATATGGTCCAGTGACTGCCAATTATAGACTTAAATACTAAAACAGAGCTGCGGCTGCTGGACATCTGAAACCAAGACAGAGTGCTGGAGAAACACAGCAAGTCTGGTAGCATCTGTAGAGAGAAGCCAGAGTTAATGGTTTGAGTCTATGATTCTTTATCAGACTTAAATATGTTGGTTTCACAACTGGAATTCCTATTTGGTAATACTAGACTTGGAACTAAACTTAATATTGGTCACAATTATGTTTGGTTAAAGTAGAAACTTTGAAAGTAATTGTACTGAACTTCAGTTCAGCTGGGAGCTGACGGAAAATGCATTCTGCCTAATGTATCCATGTTTACTTAAAGCAAGTTCCCTGTTGCCGCTTAATTTTATATTTGGTTTTGGAATGGGAGAGTTCTGCTGTGCCAAGGGTGCCGAACAAGAAATCAAACTTTTGACATGCAGTGACTACATCAGTGTCATTGATTGTTTGTACTGAGTTTGGAACAAAATTCATGCTTTTTTAAAAAGGATTGAAAAGAAGGCAGCCACATTTGAAATTTGATTACAGAGAATTTTGACTGTCCTGAACTAATACCCTAGGTCGTTATATGAGATCAGACCTGAGACATTTTTTGTTAAGAAATGCATTTGGAAAGTCTTCAAGTAAATTAAAATTAAAGATTAACAGTGCAAATCTTGTTAAATAAACTAGACACAACAGAAAAATGCATTATTCAAGCTCTACCACCACGCACACATCTATTTGAGTCTCTAATAATAGACTCTAGCAAGCACTGTGTAAATTCAGCATTACATCGAAGACTACTGGGGAAGCTGGCTGATCCAACACTTAACCTTTTGTTGTTTGAGCAGTTACCTGCAAAATCATTGAAAGATGTCCATTTCAAGATTAGAAGGACAGGCACAGTATACCTGCATCCTGTAATAATTATACATTTATTTACCATATTTGTAAGTGCTAAATATAACAAACAATTGGTGCCAGAGAACCTCTGAGTAGATATTGAAGTTTTCAAGGACTGCACTCTTGTATCTAATCTACCAATTTCCCACTGTAGAGAATTTTACTCTCTGTAGTTAGTGCACATGGTTTTGCATTCTCCTCTGTTTAATTCTGTAGTAGGTTCATCCTGGATTAACATTTGTCACATAAACTGGGCATCAAAGCTTCCTGTTTGCCACCAAGCAAACATCAAACCTTTTTTTTAACATTGAGTGAAGATCAAAGGTAATGCACCAAACTGACGAATAACTAAAGCCAAGAGTTTGAAGTGGCTCTTCAATAAATCACGAGGAGCAGCTTTCAAGTTGGCTCAAACATCAGCAGGATACCTGACCACATCAAAACATACAGACCTTCAGTGTGATGGCCTTGTGACCCCTTGGAGTATTGTCCCCATTCAGCCACAAACATAACCTTTTCACATAAATGCAAGTAGTTTGACCAATAAAGTGAAACTTCTTTGGAACAGAAATGACCCAAATACAGTGATCTACCTTTACCATTAGTGTGTAGACTACAGGGCATGCAATATATTGAATTGTTACATTGGCTCAATGCATAAATGAGAATTTTCTTTACCCAGGGACTGGTGAGCCTATGGAATTTTCTGCCAAAGAAAACAGTTGAGGCCAAAACTTTGAATGTTTTCAAGAAGGTGATAGATATAGTTCTTGGGGCTAAAGGGATCAAAGGGTATGGGGCAAAAGTCGAAACAAGTTACTCAATCGGATGCTCAGCCAAGACCATATTGAATGATAGAGCAGGCTGAATGGCCTACTCCTCCTATTTTCTATGTTTCTATGGCAGTTTGTGCAGCAATCCTTTTTGTGGCATTTGTAGTCACGTATTGTGATCAGGAAAATTGGGCAGAGAAATAAAAACACAAATGTTATTTCTAAAGGGTGAGAATAATACCCAATGCAAATGTTTCAGTGAGGAAACAGTCAAGGGTTTGATTTTCTGAAAGTTCTGTCTGTTATCACAAAGCAAACTCCGCTTTGCAGCATTTAAATTATGGATGTATCTTGTCCATACATCCATCAAACAAATGCCTGTTTAAAAATAGGCACAGATTTTAAAAAAGTAGTTCAAATTAAACCATACCTCCAATAATATGTGAACACCTCTGGTCAGAAGAGTACAAGCATTTCATGCAACAGGACATGTAGGGAGCAGGGGAGTGGGTCAGAACCGAATGTGGCTATGTTGTTTGTACTAATTAATTTTTTAAAAAAACCTTCAGGCTGCCATGGGTCTCATCATAAATGAGGCCAGAGATGTGCTTAACATCGCTGTGGCATATTAGGCAACAAACAGCTGGCTTGGTAATACCCTGAATATTATCTCAAAGGACTTTACTACGCCTTTTTGGCACCATATTTACGAAGGCCTTTACCACAATTGCCTCTACCAGAAATCTTCACCCAGAAAAAAAACACCTGCAATGGTCAAAATATGCAACATTTCACAAATGTGCATGTCATCCTTGCACAGGGGCCATGCTAATCTTCTCTCTATCATTCCAATTTTAGTATATCCTTTATTTATACAATATGCTGGAGCATCTGCCTCCTCAATCAGAAATAAAAGTTCCACTACTTTTATTCAGCATTTAAGGAGATTATTTCTCCAGTGATACTGTGTAATTAGATTCCTCCAAATAATGAATTCTGGGTTCAGAGTCACCATCACACTGTCACAAGTGGAAAATGTGTACTAAGTACAGCAAGATGATGCTGGATACTGCCAATCAATGTGCATGGTTAAGTCAAGTGCAGAACAATATTTAATCTGGCACCTCCAGCTTTCCTTGAACAATTTTTCTGCCCATACCTCTTGGATCTTCATAGCCAAGACAACAGAGTGAAATTGTGCTTAGTTTTAAACTAAGGTTGCTGTAAGATTTACTCTGGGTATCTGATCTCTATGTCAACAGGGCTGTCATTAGGTATGAAGTTAAACGACACCAGTTTATAGTCCAACAGGTTGATTTGAAATCATAAGCTTTCGGAGTGCTGATCCTTCGTCTGACCTAGTCAACCCCAGTCCAACACAGGCACCTCCACATCAGGACTGTCATTAGGCATTGTACCACCACAGCACAGGCACATGTTGGAACGTAGCTCCAGTGAGAGGATTCAAGCCAATATCTTAAAATGTTTTGTCAATCTGATTCATTGTTCAGACCATTTGTATTGTCTGTTGTGTATTGTCTATCAATTTTTTTTTTTCCAATTCGTCTCCTGCTCTTTTCACTTAAGCATTATTAACAGTACCAACTTGCAGTTATACTGCAGCTTTAACTTACCAAGACATTCTGAGGTGCTCCACATTAGTCTTTTCAAACTAAATCTGATACTGAGCCACACAAGAGATGAAAACAAAGAGATTGAAGCATTTTGAGGAGTGGTGTAGAAATGCTTGGGGAAGGATTTTAAGTTTAGAGCTAAGGTAGCTGAAATTATCAATGGCTGAGATTTAAAATTAGGGATGTATAAAGCTACTTTACATCTGTAATTTAAATATTTTTACTTTTATGACCAAATAAAATATTATTCTTGGAAGCATATATTCTCCACATTCAGCTACTCCTTTGTCATTTTGTTGCTTCTGTTAATGTTGCAAACCTTTGATTGTAGTTCTTGTTCAGTCACTACTTGCGTAGTTTGTATTTAAGATTATAGGAGTTTCTGTGTTTGACTTGTATATCCATCCTCTGTCAGTTTGTAGTTTCCCGCTATCTCAAAATAGCCAAAAGCAGTACCAAATTACCTCCTCTGTGACTGTGGTTCATTCTCCCTCCTTGCCCTTGATCTCTCCATAACCTTTGGCAAAATTGAACTAAGAAAGCACCTTGTCCCCCAGATGCCACCAATTAAAAATGAACATTTTTGTTTCAAATCATTTCATGACATTGCCTCTTTGTATGACAGTTTCAAACCTACATCACCCCCACCTACTTCTGAACTTTGTTGTGCATCTCACTCTCCCATTGACCCATTGTCCTATCCTCAGCTGGCTAAGCCTGAAATTTTGGAATTCCCATCCAGTGTAAATCAGTTTGCTCCCATCCTCCCTTATCCCCTCTGATAGAGTCACACAGTACAGAAACAGACCCTTCGGTCTAACCAGTCCATGCCAAACAAATTAGTCCCACCTGCCTGCTGTTGGCCCATGTCATACAGCCGTACAGCATGGAATCACAACCTTCAGTTCAACTCGTCCATGCCGATCAGATATCCTATATAAATCTAGTCCCGTTTGCCAGCATTTGATCCATCTCCCTTTTAACCCTTCCTATTCATATGCCCCACCCAGATGCCTTTTAAATGTTGTAATTGTACCAGCCTCCTCCACTTCATCTGGCAGCTCATTCCACACACGCATCACCCTCTGTGTGAAAACTCTGCCCCCGAGATCCCTTTTACATCTTTCCTCTCTCACCTTAAACCTATGCCCTCTAGTTTTGTACTCCTCCACCACGGGTAGGGTGGGGGGGACCTTGCCTATTTACCCTATTCATGCCCCTCATGATTTTATAAACTTCTATAAGGTCACCCCTCCGCCTCCGACACTCCAGGCAAAATAGCCCCAGCCTATTCAGCCTCTCCCTATATTTCAAACTCTCCAAGCCTGGCAACATCCTTGTAAATCTTTTCTGAACCCTTTCTATTTTCACAACATTCTTCCTGTGGGAGGGAGACCAGAATTGCGCACAATGCTCCAGAAGTGGCCGAACCACTGTCCTGTACAGCTGCAACATGACCTCCCAACTCCTATACTCCCTCCAGATCTTTCCTATTCATGTACCCATCCAAATGTCTTTTAAGTGTTGTACCCGCATCCACCTCTTCCTAAGGAAGTTCATTCCACATGCGAACCACCCTCTCTGTGTAAAAAAATTACCTCTTTTTTTTTAAACTTCCCTAATCTTAAAAATGTGCCCCTACTCTTGAAATCCCCCATCCTAGGGAAAAGACAACTACCATTAACTCTATATATACCTTTCATTATTACATAAACTTCTATCATGTCGCCTCTCAACCTCTTAACACTCCAGTGAAACAAGTCCCAGCCTATCCAGCCTTTAACCAACATTCTTTCATTTCTCACAGTAAGTTTTCCCATCATTTAGTACTGATTGCACCTCTGAAACAACTTGGAGTGTTTTTCAATATTAAAAGCACAATGTAAATGCAAGTTATTGTTGACTAACATTATGATTTCAAACCTGTTTCTTTCTGTGCTTGTGGACTGAACAGTAGGATCACAAATCCATACACTGATGCAATTGTGCAGCCATTTCAGGGAAGGAATGATTGACTGACTGGGTCTCTTTCTTTAAAAATTGACGCTGAGGAGTAAACTAATAGAAGCCTTTAAAATTCTGGAAAGATTTGGTTGACTGTATACAGATGGAATATATCCACTTGTGAGAAATGATATAACTAGAGCCATTCGATGTGAAATAGTCATAGAATCCCTACAGTGTGAAAGCAGGCCATGCAGCTCATCGATCCTCCAAAAAGCATCCCACCCATACACACGCCTCTATCCTATCTGTGTAACCCTGCATTTCCCACAGCTAATTAGACACCTAGACACTATGGGCAATTTAGCATGGCCAGGCCACCTATCCCGCATATCTTTGGACTGTGGGAGGAAACCCATGCAGACACAGGGAGAACGTGCAAACTCTACACAGACGATCACCTGAGGGTGGCATCGAACCCAGTCCCTGTCATTGTGAGGCAGCAGCACTGATCACTGTGTCTTCAAGAAGTCTTTAAGAAATTCAATAGAGAATTTGGAAGAAATCTGTTCATCCAAAAACTGGTGAGCATGTGAAACAGGGAATAGTTGAGGCAAATAGTACAGATGCTTTTAAGGAGAAAATATAAAATGCATAGGAGGTAGAAGGAAATTGAGGGTTTACAATAGTAAGAGTGGATGAGAAAAGATGGAAGGACTTACAAGAGTGGTGTAAACAGCTGCATGGACTGGTTTGGTGGAATGTACTGTTCCTGTATATCCTATGGAATGGGATAGGTCTGTTGTCTAGCCAATAATGGTGTTATGTTTTATTAACTTTAACAAGGGATACTGCAAGCCCCTTTTGAGAGTTCCTTAAACATTGTTAAAATGTTAGCAAAGCCAGAAAGTTTTACATTTATACAGCCTTTCACAGCCTCAGGACATCTCAAGAGCACTCTACGGCCAGTGAAGTACTTTGGAAGTGTAGTTACAGTTGGAATGGGACAGCCTCTTGGTGAATTTCCTAGTGGTATTATTGCTAGACTATTAATCCAGAGATAAAGAACTGCAGATGCTGGAAACCTGAAATAAAAACAGAAATTGCTCAAGTTCTGAAGAAGGGTTACTGGATTTGAAACGTTAACTCTGTTTCTCGCTCTACAGCTGCTGCTAGACCTGCTGGGTTTCTCCAGCAATTTCTGTTTTTGTTATTAATTCCAAAGACCCAGGTAATGTTCTGGTGACCCAGGTTTGAATCCCACCATGGCAGAGGGTGGAATGTGATTTCAATAAAAATCAATCTGGATTTAAGAGTTAATGATGACCATGACATCATTGCTGATTATTGGCTAAACCCATCTGATTTATTCATGTCCTCTCGGGAAGAAAACTGTTATCTGATCTATCCTACATGTGACTCCAGATCCAAAGCAATGTAGTTGACTCTTACCTACTCTCTGGGCAATCAGGGAAGAACAATAAATGCTGGCCCAGTGACACCTACATCACATGGATGAATAAAAAAAAATTTACACAAAGCAAGTTCCTACAATCAATGACATGATATTCACTTTTGGTGATGTTGATTAAATGATAAATATTGGCTGGGCCACCAGGGAGACCTCCCCTTGCTCTTGGTTGACATAGAGCCATGGCACCTTTTACATATACTGAAGTAGGCAGATGATGCCTCAGTTTAGTGACATACTTCCTACACAGCAGCACTGGAGTGTCAGCCTAGATTTTTACATTCAAGCATGGAATGGGACTTGATTGCAGATCCCTCATGACTCAGGGGTTAGTGTGCTACTGCCTGATCCAAGGCTGATGCTCTGAGTTCTGTAGGGAATATTGAGACACGAGACAGTTCCCTTTGATGTCCCTGTGGCACCTTAGTGAGCCTTTTACTATACATTGTCATATTCGACTTGTCCAGCGAACCCATGATTATTCCCCAATGCTAATCACCTTCACATCATCGGAAAACAAAATATTCAGGATGGAAACAGTTTGGGGGGGGAAAAGAACCTTAAAGCTACTATAACAAGACAATTCCAAACTGGCTTCCAGTCTTGTGTGGATATGTTGAAATCCGGCAAATTCATGTACATATGACACAATTGCTGCTCAAAGGATAAAGCACAAATGTGTATGCATTAATCATCTCAATATTTACTTAGATGTAAGGCCACATTCAATCCCAAATCTCACAATGCATACCCGTATTTCATTATTTGACCAGTTTTAAAAATTAAGTATAAGTAAAATTCTCCACCCCACACACACAGACCTGTTTCAC